TACTGCACGTGATCTCAGATAAAATGAACTCCTTCATCTGATCATCGAGATGTCCGGCTCCAGAGCCCGAGCCTGATCCCTTGCCGACGCCAGAACTGCTAACTGGTCTAGTGCGTAGTGTCACCATATTGAAAATACACCATAACAAACATCAGACACTCATCATAACTCGAGGGATCACACACACTACAAGTTCCCTATGTTCATCTCAGCCCTCCTTGACTCGAGTATGGATCCTCTGCTTTCAGTATTACGGGCCCATACTACCTTCCACATCTATCCGTACTTTCCTCAAGAATTGCCTCGACTCCACCAAGTCCCTTTCACTACTGCTTCTCTCAGCGCTGATCTCATCCTAGGCTTACCCTAGGGTAATCTCCGACCCACTCTCCTCCATCAGCTGCATAAGAAGTCCATGCTACCCTTCCATAACTAGCTCGTAAATACCATTACATATTACTAAGACCAGATAATTCATCGAATGAGAGGTCTCTCCCTACAATGGTTGGACTCAAACAAGAGCTGTGAAATAAAGCTAAACCTAACCTTCTGAAATTATTTAGTCCTCATAATATGTAGCTTAGTGTATTCGTTTACTTGTTAGTTAAAGATAACTAGAACTCCTAAAAGCACAAAGCAAACAACATTCGAGCATTGAGTAATCAAAACAAAGCATATCTTAATCATGCCATCATATCACTGACTAATCATTACTAGCATGCAGCTCAATAAGCTCGTACAGTAGGCATACAAGGCATCCTTCCCAGATCCTTAGCCCCAATCTAGCATGCAGTTCACATATTCACAATTCATATCATAACATAATCATGTATGGGTAATTTGGGAGAACTTACTTGAGGTCGGTTGATTGCATGCACCATACCCTTTTCTCTTTTAAAAATCCTTTTTATAAAAATGATTTTCTTTTGAAAACTTTCATACCAAGTCCTTAGTTTGAGTTCAGACACACCCGAGAGTGTGCCCGAATCCCTGAAACCAAGGCTTTGATACCAACTTGTAACACTCATAAAATATGGTCCCAAAAATTTTATTTTTAAATCATGAATAAACCAGAGTTATTTAAATCATCTCAACAAAACATAAGTCATATTATCTCTGTAACATCCCAATTTTCAAGACTAAAAATTTCATTTTTGTTTTAACGGTTTATAGAAACATTTTACAAATAAACATCATTCATTCATTTCATTTCAGAAAGACCATAATCACATGTCTCAAAACCATATCATAAATAGTAATACTGTCACAGTACAATCCCAAGAATCTTATAGTGCGGAAATCATGTGTGTGTGAGGCGCTGCTACCGTGCCGGCTCCTTCCTTTTCGACGAAGAGGTACCTGAAATAAAACTGAAAACTGTAAGCACAAAGCTTAGTGATTTCCCCCATCATATCACATACCATACAACATACATACTTTCGGGCAATTCTGGGGTGCCTGACCTACCCTGCCAGGCATTTCTGGGGTGCTTGACTACCCTACCAGGCAATTCTGGGGTGCCCGACCTACCTATGTCAAGCAGTTCTAGGGTGCTGACCGACCCTTCGGTCCTTACGACCGAGATACGAGGACTATTTCACCTCCTACTACTACCACATAATAACATAGTATAAACATACTGTCACGCATATCTGGGGTGCCCAACCTACCATATGGTCCTTACGACCGTGACACAGGGACTATTCCCCCTACGGCTACTATCACATAACATCATAACATACTAGCACATAAAACATATTAGGTAGCAGCAAACCTAGATGAATATCACAAAGACAATCATCTAACATACAACTCCTACTGGTGGGCCGGCATTGTGGCCGTAGACCCACCGCTACTGGAGGGTAACTCACCTCGATGCTGAGAAGTGTCTGAACTTTCCTCAATATCGGGATCAACTCCTCAAACTCCTACACATAACAACCTTACTTAATTACCATTACGTATTCTTAACCCTTACATGGGTCAAGTCAGGTCAAAGTCAAAGTCAAAGGTCAACACCCTGGTCAAAGTCAACTCTGGGTCAAAGTCAACATCCGGTTGACTCGAATCGCCGAGTTGACCCATCAACTCGCCGAGTCCGATAATCCTTTAAATTGCTAAAACTTCGACCCTACTTGCCGAGTCTTTCAAGAGCTCGCTGAGTTCTCCTTTAAACAAAGTCGGGACCTTCTACAACCGACTCGTCGAGTTCATCCTTGAACTCGTCGAGTCCTGAAGCATACCAAATGGCCCCTCTAGTCCTGGACTCGTCGAGTTCTCCATGAACTTTTCGAGTTCGTCTTCATGCAGTTGGGCTTAGTCCTGAACTCGTCGAGTTTGTTCTTGAACTCGTCGAGTTCCATGATCTTCATGTCTACAATGAACCCAAATGATTGAGTCTTCTTCTAACTCAACATATTGTCCATTATCAGAAGAGGTTTGGGGGAAATTGCGACCCCACTTGCCGAGTCATATGAGGAACTCGCTGAGTCCCTCTTTGTCCAAAACTGTTCAGTCGATTTCAGTTTCTCTTAATGCATCCAAATCATAGATTTGACCTCCTAGGGTCCATATTATACGTAAAGTTACAAACTTGATGTTCATGCATGGGACATTTGGCTCAAAAGGTCCTAAAAAGAGGTTTATACCATGCATGGGACTCCCATGGCCATAAAGTTGGCACCTTTATGCCACGGGAACCCTTAATGGTTCCAGATATGAAGTTCTTTTCCCAAAATCGTGGTTGCATCCAAAAATGGCTCCAAAAATGGCTTCCAAAAACCCTAAGTTACTCCAAAAAGATTATTTAATGAAAGGAGGAGCAAGGTCTGGACTTTTTACCGCCAAGAAGCAGGAAATGAAGCAAAATCTCTGGATCTTCTTGCTTCTTCTGAAGTCCCAAGCTCCTTCTTCTTCTTCTCAATCTTCTAACACACACAAATGGCACAAAATAGCTCAAAATCATTCAAAATTGATTAGGGTTTAGTGAGGGGGGTCTGAGGGTGCTGGAGGCTGTAAAGGGAATCAGTTAAGGTGTTTAAATAGGGTGCAAACCCTAAATATTAGGGTTTCATCCAGTCAGCCCTACTCGTCGAGTCGGGCTCCCGAATCGTCGAGTAGGTTATTACAAACCCGCATCCAAAGTCCATTCTACTCGATGAGTTGATCCTCCAACTCGTCGAGTCCAGTGTAAAAATGCAAATATTCATATTTAAAATACGTACAGAGAACCGGGTGTTACAATCTCAACCATGGTCAAAGTCAAGTCTAGGTCAAAGTCAAAGTCAACGCTCCAAGTTGACTCAACTCGTCGACTTTACCCTTCAACTCGTCGAGTTCCCATGAATCACAAAATCATGAAATCGCGATCCAACTCGTCGAGTTTTCCTCCAACTCGCCGAGTTTTGTCCTTTTAACAGAATCGGGGCACTTCGGCCCAACTCATTGAGTTCCTCTATGAACTCGTCGAGGTCTTCGGTCTGTTAACCCCTCTTAATGCATTAAGCCCTTATTCTTCAGATCTACACCCTAAAATCCAGATCTAGACTGGAAATGCTTCTAGAAGGGTAAAGTTTCCAACTTTACCTATTAATACCTTTCCTAAATGGATTAAGCTCAAACCCTAAACCAAAAAGTCCAAAGTCTTAATCCAAGCACCACCAAAACTACAAGATAGACCATGAGGTCATAGATCTGGACTCTAGGGACAAGAAGATCACGTAAAGTCCCATATTTGTCTACATGAATGGCCATTAGAAGCTTCAAAAGGCCAAAATGATGGTCTAAAGGTTGCATGGGACTTCCATGGCCATAAAGTTGGAACCTTTATGCCATGAAAACCCCTCAAGACCTTAGATCTGAAGTGTAAACCCATTTGGGACGTCCAACTCCCAAGGACCATGATATTTGGTCCAAAACCAATCAAAATAACCATAAAAGAAGATCTAAACAACTACAAAGCAAGGTTCAAGCTTTATACCAGCAAAATGTCGTGGATGAGGCAAGGATTCTAGATCTATAAGATCGCTCTTGTGTCCTCAAGATTTTCCTTCTTCCAATGGCTTCAAGCACACAATAAAACACTTAAAATGGCTCACAAACACTCACAATAACATTAGGATTTCGAGATCTTGGGTTAGGGACTTGGAGGCTGGAAATGAGGCTAACACCTTGGGGTTAAGGTGTTTAAATAGGGTGCAAACCCCGGAAATTAGGGTTTCATACTTGCCAGCCTACTCATCGAGTTGAGGCCTCCCAACTCGTCGAGTAGGTTACTTAAAATGTGCGGCCCTTATGTTCTCTACTCGATGAGATTGGGGCTCCCAACTCATCGAGTTGCTCTATAAATGGAATAATTTATAAGTTATATACATACCAGGAACCAGGCGTTACACCAATTCCCCTGGCATTTAAACTTAGACAGTTCATTTGGGTGCTCCTTTCTCTCTAATTTCACCCACTATTTCCTGTAGAATAGGGTTCTGTTTCTCAATTTCGAACCCAAGCTCATTCCCAATTTCTTCTATTTTTTGATTTCCAGATTGGATGAGGCACATACACTCTCTTCAACTATTGAGTTGGAATCTGGAGCACTTCTATTTAGATCGATAGATGGGTTGTCTCCTTCCTCTGGTAACAAAGGGGGATCAAGGGGGGGGGGGGAGGGAATTCATAAGCCTTATTAGGAAACATGAAGGGGATGCTCAAGAAAGGGGGAATTTTGAGTTCTCCTGATCAATTCTTCTTCTCTTACCTAAAGACCCACCTATGATCGATTCATAATTTGAATTCATCTTATCCTATTGGGTTGAATTAATTGGATATGTAAATGGCCTAAAACATCCATTTGGTTCCAAATTGTTCATAAACCCAATAGCTTTTGACCTGGTAGACACGTTGGATTTGTATCTGGTTCCACCTACTTCTTCTGTTTGACTTTGTTCCAAGGGGATTTTACCGTTACCAGTTAATACCCTTGCATTCCCCATGATCACTTCATCTTATGATGTCATAGCTTCTACCATTGACATTGGCTCCCCATGCGACGATTGGTTTTCTTGGTTTTGAGCATCACCGACCGACAACCTTTGACCATTTTCCGGTAATACCTTATCCACAGTTGCTGCTTTTCCGTCGCTTCTCTTGTCTCGGACCTCATCTGTTGTGTCTTTGTTATCTTCCAGATCTATTTCCCCTTCCTCATGTTTGATAACATTGCCGACCATCCATTTATCCAAAATTCCTTCTTCATCCTCCTCATCTTCTACACATTCCATATTTTCATAGTAGTCATTTAAAGGATCGAATCTGAATGGAAACTAGTCTTTTTCGAACTTAGTGATACCAATCTTGAATAGTTTGTCTTCAACATCCACCACGACCTCCTCGTTGATTCTGTTACATCTATCTCTTAGAATGCCAATCTTGGCACATAAATGATCGAAGATATTGTAAATTTCATCAAAGGCGACAATTGTTCTTCCAAATCTTCCTATGATAGCCTCAAAATTTCGATGTCCCTACAGGTATAGGGGTAATCCCACTATTCTAATCCATGCGACCCTCTCAAATCCTGTTTCTACTTGCTCACCCTACTTTACCCACTTTAAATTTTCTTTTCATCTATTTTCATTCTCCATGAATCCGTTTGCATCCTTTGAACTTTCAAACAGAAGTACAACCTTAAGAACTGTAATATATATTTTGTTCACACATACTTCTTCTTTGATGGATAGTAGTTTGGGGATCTATAAAAGATGATTTAGTGACACCGTTTATCTAATAAGAGTCATTTTTCATCCATTCATAGATTCCACCTTCTCGATGTAGAAGGATAGGCAGCTGTGGTGGACGTGCTGTTGGGGGACCAAGGGGCTTGGATCATGCTTTCATGACTTCAGCAACGGAACGGTGGTCCCGGAATCCTTCAGAAGGGTTGGGCTTTGATGGTTGTACCGGTTTATGACTTGTACCAATTTTACGCTTAGCTTCCTTTCATTCGTATTTCTCCAGATTGACTGCAAGAATCCTTCCGTAAACTTTGACTCCATCGAGTTTCTTTTCAAGCTCTTTCACGTCATCCATACCTTGGAATCTGATGAATATATAGTTTTTTCTATTTCTTCTTTTCTTCATCCTTAAGTACACGTCCGATAATCTCCCATGTTTGGCGAAAATGTTCCATAGTTCGCCTTTGGTAACGTTCCCCGGGATGTTTGATACGAAATATGTCATCACGTTAGCATGATACTGTTTGGCGACACTTTCCTCCTTCGGGCTTTCCTCCCACTACCCCACTATGAGCAGAATGATTCTGATCGATCCAAGTAATCCTTAGGAAGTGACATTTCTATTTTATGAAATTAATTCATGTATATAAGGTACAATATATTTGCAGCTATCGTACAAGTCAAAAAAACATATATTCTATGTGGATGAATTTCTTTATTCAATCTATTATGACTACTTTCATAATCAAGGTGGTATATCAATTAATCTTCTTACCAACTCAAGATCATAAATTGGTATATTTTTAAAGGCTTTTTTTGTTCAGGAACTTAAATATATATAAACCATTCAGGGTGGAGCCAAAATTTCAGAAAGAGGACTTAAAAGACACGTGAAGCTAAGATTTAGAAAATGGGCTTAAAAAGATGATTTTAGAATAAAGGTGGAGGTAGCCCATCTCCCTCAACCCTTTTTGTCACACCCCAAAACCAAGAACGGCGGAAACGTTCAGGGGTGGAGGACGTCATGTAAAGTATCATAACAGTGCAAAGTAGTAAACAAGCAACAACATCATCCATTGCATTAAAAGTAAAGTTTTAATACATGAGTGTTCTTTCATAGTAATAAGACACCAAAATATGTAATCAAAATAAAAGACGAGTCTTGTCTGTGCTCCGTCTTCTCAAAACCTGGTCATCGTACCTGTCTACTAGTGACCTGAGAATACAAGTTATTTTGAAAGCGTAGATCAGCATAAAGCTGGTGAATTTCATAAGTATTTTAGTGTCACTGATTTGTAAAGCTGTTATGAAAGACTTGCAAATGTTTAATGAAACATTTAGTATAAGTGTGAAAACCCTAGAAAATCCCATATTTCCTACTAGTATAAAACGTAGTCTTCTACCAAGACCCGAATGCTTTGAAGGTTTGCATTTCTGTATCAATGAAGCTTTTTCCCATGTACAACTATTATTATAAAAATATAGTCTACCTCATCGTTTATGTGAATGTGTCACAAAATAAAAGTAATAGGGAAAATTATATAATCATTGAAATCGTATCCTTTTGCCTGAGGATAATCACGGTGTGGAAACTCGCCGAACAGTACAACCAAGAACATCCGTCGATGAACAGGTCCCGCTGTAGCTAGCAGCCAGGTGTAGGATGGTCAGTCCCGTATAGTATATATAGTATCTCTCTCTATATAGTATATAGTATTTCTCTATGTATAACAAGTAATAGTATCTCTTCATATAGTATTTAGTATATTTGTATAGACTCATGAATGAACTGACTCTTATGTAATTCCTTGTACTAGGAATGGTAATTTGTATCTCCTAAACTATACCTATAATAGTTTACTGGAATGTAGATTGAATGTCCAAGTAGGTTTATACACCCTTGCTACTCAAGAGTATTGGAACTGAAGAAAGAATGAAAGCCCTAATATCAATACATATATACATGAAACATAAGTGTATAGATAGGGTTTTTATCAATAAGTTGAAAGAGGTTTTGTAATACATTTAAGAGTTTTGAACAATAAATAATAATGACTTGATGTCGGTTTATAAAACGATTCAAAAGTAGTTTATTTGATAAAAAGTATAAAAATAACTGAAAACCATTGCATTTAACACATTTTGAAGTATGTGAAAATCAGTTGGTTGAAAACACCGTTATAAATCACATGTGATTGATTCTATAACTTCCTGTTTTCTACTTGTATTCCCCCCCCATGAAAGCATTTAAACTCATTTAAAAGGATTGATTAAGGGGTATGAACTCACCTGTAGTGAGTAACTCGAATGAAAGATCGATTATAGGATTGTTGGGTGTCAATTGGAGTCTTGAGTACAAACGAATCCTATTAACATATAATTACACATATATGAATACATTCCATGTATATAACCACTAAAAGTGTTAGGGACACGCCTTAGGGACATAAAAACACTTAGAATTAAGTGTTACAACCATATATGATTGTATATAAGGGCTATATGGCTATACAAGGGAGTGTATGGTTAAAATGCACAACATTTATGTGTGTGCGGCCGCACACTCCCTATGAAATGTGCCAAAACGTATTTTTAAGGCTTTAGGACTCATCTAGGAAGGTTTCTTACTTCTTGCCTTAGCCTTATATGGAGTTTATTGCCATTTTTGGACCTAAAAAGGGTGTGTGCGGCTACACATGGTGTGTGCGGCCGCACACCCTTTATGAAGATGATAAAATCGAGTTTTTCTAGAATATCATCAAGTGTTCTTAGCATATAACAAGTTATGATAAGTGTATACACGTTATAGAGGCTTGAAAGGGTGATTAAGGTCCAAAACTAGTGTGTGTTCTTGGTGTTCTTGGTGATCTAACACCAAATAGGTGTTTTCATGGATCAAATCAAGGAGAAAGGCTAGTTAAGGTCATATATTAGCTATTCAAAGGATGAATCACTCACTTGATTGAAGATTGAAGTGAAACTTTGGATGATACTTGAGAGAAAACGAGTTCTAGCTTTGAAGAAGTGGAAAAAGTGTTCAAAATGGCTAAGTGTTGAATATATAGGTGGGAGTGTGAGGTTGGTATGGGTGTGCGGCCGCACACACCTGTGTATGGCCGTACACTCAAGTGTGCGGCCGCACACTCCATATGTTGGAGTGTTTGGCCCGATTTTGCTTGATATGCATCGTGTTATCCCATTTCTAGGTTCCTACCTTAATTGTACTGGGTTTAGAACACTCAAACAGACCCCAAACAGTGCTAAAAGCTAGCGAAACGAGTCTATCTTTCATTAAATTGATCCATTGATTGAGATAAAAATTTCGGGTTGTCACATCATCCCCCTGTTAGAAGGAATTTCGTCCCGAAATTAGAGTTTAAGCAAATAAGTAGTTACAAATAACTAAGTAAAAAGACGAGGATATTTCAGTTTCATCTGATCCTCTCTCTCCCAAGTGAATTCAGATCCTCGCTTGGCGTTCCAGCGAACCTTCACTATCGGGATACGGCTTTGCTTTTGTTTGCTTGACCTCTCGGTCCATGATCTCTACAGGTTCTTCCACGAAGTTGAGGCTCTCGTTGATCTCGATCTCGTCGAGTGGGATTAAAAGAGTCTTGTCGGACTGACACTTTTTCAAGTTCGAGACGTGGAAAGTAGAATGTACGTTACTGAGTTCACGAGGTAAGTTAAGTTTGTAAGCTACAGGGCCGATTCTAGCGAGAATCTCGAAGGGCCCTATGTATCTTGGATTTAGCTTTCCACGCTTTCCGAAGCGTATCAAGCCTTTCCAGGGTGAGACCTTCAATAGAACACGGTCGACCACCTGGAATTCCAATGGTTTCCTTCGTTTATCTGCGTAGCTTTTCTGTCGGTCTCTAGAGGATTTCAATCGTTCACGAATCTGAACGATCTTCTCTGTCGTTTCCCGAATGATCTCCGGACCTGTGAGAGTGCTGTCAGGAACTCGTCCTTTAGCTAACTGGGTATCACCCACCTCAGCCCAGCACATAGGGGATCTGCAGTTTCGGCCATAGAGGGCCTCGAATGGAGCAGCCTTTATGCTCGTATGATAACTGTTGTTGTAGGAAAATTCGACAAGGGGTAAATGGGTATCCCATGCCTTCCCAAAGTCGATCACACAGGCTCGTAACATATCTTCCAAGGTTTGGATAGTCCTCTCACTTTTTCCGTCGGTCTGTGGATGGTAGGCTGTACTCATGTCCAGCCTAGTTCCTAGGGAACTTTGTAGCGACTGCCAGAACCTCGAAGTGAATCTACTATCTCTGTCCGAGATAATGGATATGGGAACACCGTGCAGTCGTACAATCTCCCGTATGTAAGTTCTTGTAAGCTTCTCCATCTTGTCTGTTTCTTTGATAGGCAGGAAGTGTGCGGACTTGGTCAATCTGTCGACGATGACCCATATGGTATCAAGTCCACCCGTTGTCTTGGGCAACTTGGTTATGAAGTCCATAGTGATCCGCTCCCACTTCCATTCCGGTATCTCCGACTGCTGTAGTAGACCGGAGGGTTTCTGGTATTCGACC